AAACAATAAATATTAACAGTAAACATTACACTCAGAAGTTCCAAAAGAATAAAGACATTTCAAATGTCAAATTATGTATGTATACAATGTTGTGACGATGAATCTCTCTCTCTCTCTCTCTCTCTCTCTCTCTCTCTCTCTCTCTCTCTCTCTCTCTCTCTCTCTCTCTGTCTCCGCTCTCACTCTCTCTCTTTCTCGCTCTCTCTCTTTCTCTTTCTCGCTCTCTCTCTTTCTCTCTCGCGCTCTCTCTCTTTCTCTCTCTCTCTCTCTCTCTGTCTCGCTCTCTCTCTCTCTCTCTGTCTTTCTGTCTCCTCTTGCTGTCTCTCTGTCTCTGCTCTCACTCTCTCTCTGTCTCTGTCGCTCTGTCTCTGTCGCTCTGTCTCTGTCTCCGTCGCTCTGTCTCTGTCTCTGTCGCTCTGTCTCTGTCGCTCTGTCTCCCTCGCTCTGTCTCTGTCTCCCTGTCTCTGTCTGTCGCTCTGTCTCTGTCCTGTCGCTCTGTCTCCGTCGCTCTGTCTCTGTCTCTGTCTCTGTCGCTCTGTCTCTGCGTCTGTCTCCGTGTTGTCTCTGTCGCTCTGTCTCCGTCGCTCTGTCTCTGTCCTCGCGCTCTGTCTCTGTCTCGTCGCTCTGTCTCTGCTGTCGCTCTGTCTCCGTCGCTCTGTCTCCGTCGCTCTGCTCTGTCTCGTGCTTGTCTCTGTCTCGTGCTCTGTCTCTCGCCTGTCTCTGCGCTCGTCTCTGTCTCCGTCGCTCGTCTCTGTCTCCGTCGCTCTTCTCTGTTTTCCGTCGCTCTGTCTCTGTCTGTCGCTCTGGTCTCTGTCCCCTCTGTCTCCGTCGCTCGTCCTGTCTCTGTCGCTCTGTCTCCCGCTCTGTCTCTGTTCGCTCTGTCTCCGTCGCTTGCGCTCTGTCTCTGTCTCTGTCGTCTGTCTCTGTTTTCTGCTCTGTAGCTCTGTCTCTGTAGCTCTGTCTCTTTTAGCTCTGTCTCTGTCGCTTTCTGTCTCTGTCGCTCTGTCTCTGCCTGTCTCTGTCGCTCTGTCTCTGTCTCTGTCCTCTGGGCTCGTCTCTGTCGCTCTGTCTCTGTCGCTCTGTCTCTGTGCTCTGTCTCTGTAGCTCTGTTCTCTGTCGTCGTCTCGTCCCCTGTCGCTCTGTCTCTGTCTCTGTCGCTCTGTCTCTGTCGCTCTGTCTCTGTCGCTCTGTCTCTGTCTCTCTTTTCGCTCTGTCTCCGTCGCCTGTCTTGTCGCTCTGTCTCCGTCGCTCTGTTCTGTCTCTGTCGCTCTGTCTCCTCGCTCTGTCTCTGTCTCCGTCGCTGTCTCCGTCGTCTGTCTCCGTCGCCTGTCTCCGTCGCTCTGTCTGTCTCCCTCCTCTGTCTCTGTCGTCGTCTCTGTCGCTCTGTCTCTGTCTCGTCGCTCGTCTGTCTCGTCGCTCGTTCTGTCTCCGTCGCTCTCTCTCTCTGTCTCCGCGCTCTGTCTCGTCTGTCACTCTGTCTCTGGGGCTCGTCTCCGTCCCCTCTGGGCTCTGGTCTGTCTCTGTCTCTGTCTCTGTCGCCTCTGTCTCCGTCGCTCTGTCTCTGGTCTCCCGTCCTCTTGTCTCTAGTCTCTGATCTCTGTCCGCTCGTGTCTCCGTCGCTCTGTCGCGCTGTCTCCGTCGCTCTGTTCTCTGTCTCTGTCGCTCTGTCTCTGTCGCTCTGTCTCTGTCGCTCTGTCTCTGTCTCCGTCGCTCTGTCTCTGTCTCTGTCGCTCTGTCTCTGTCTCCGTCGCTCTGTCTCTGTCTCCGTCGCTCTCTCTCTCTGTCTCCGTCGCTCTGTCTCTGTCTGTCGCTCTGTCTCTGTCGCTCTGTCTCCGTCGCTCTGTCTCTGTCTCTGTCTCTGTCGCTCTGTCTCCGTCGCTCTGTCTCTGTCTCCGTCGCTCTGTCTCTGTCTCTGTCTCTGTCTCTGTCGCTCTGTCTCCGGTCGCTCTGTCGCTCTGTCTCTGTCTATGTCGCTCTGTCTCTGTCGCTCTGTCTCTGTCGCCTGGGCTCTGTCGCTCTTCTCTGTCCCGTCGCTCTGTCTCTGTCTCTGTCGCTCTGTCTGTTGTCGTCTGTCTGTCTGTCGCTTGTCTCTGTCGCTCGTTTTGTCTCCGTCGCTCTGTCTCCGTCGCTCTGTCTCTGTCTCCGTCGCTCTGTCCCCTGTCTCGTCGCTCGCTCTGTCTCTGTCGCTCGTCTCTGTCTCTAGCTCTTCTCTGTCGCTCTGTCTCTGGCTGTCCTGGTCTCCGTCGCTCTGTCTCTGTCTCCGTTCGCTCTGTCTCTGTCTCTGTCGCTCTGTCTCCGTCGCTCTGTCTCTGTCGGGTCTGTCTCTGTCGCTCTGTCTTGTTCTGTCGCTCGTCTGTCTCCGTCGCTCTGTCCCCTGTCTCCGTCGTCGTCTCGTCTCCGTCGCTCTCTCTCTGTCTCCGGCTCCTCGTCGTCGCTCTTTTCTCTGTCGCTTGTCCTCGTCGTCCTGTCTTGTCTCTGTCTCTGTTCCTCTGTTTTTCCGTGCTCTGTCTCGTCTCTGTCTCTGTCCTGTCGCTCTGTCTCCGTCGCTCTGTCGCTCTGTCTCCGTCGCTCTGTCTCTGTCTCTGTCCCCTCTGTCTCGTTCGCTCTGTCTCTGTCGCTCTGCTCTGTCTCCGTCGCTCTGTCTGCTCTGTCGCTCTGTCTCTTCTCCGTCGCTCTGTCTTGTCTCCGTCGCTCCTCTCTCTGTCTCGTCGCTCTGTCCCCTTGTTGTCGTTTCTGTTCTGTCCCCTCTGTCTCCGTCGCTCTGTCTCTGTCCTCTGGTCTCTGTCTCTGGCGCTCTGTCTCCCCTCGCTCTGTCTCTGTCTCCGTCGTCTGTCTCTGTCTCCGTCTCTGTTCTGTCGCTCTGTCTCCGTCGCTCTGTCGCTCTGTCTCTGTCTATGCCGCTCGTCTCTGTCGCTCTGTCTCTGTCGCTCTGTCTCTGTCGCTCTGTCCCGTTCCCCTCGCTCTGTTCGCTCTGTCGCCTGTCTTGTCTGTCGCTCGTCTCGTCTGTCGCTTGTCTCTTCGCTCTGTCTCTGTTCCCCTCGCTGTCTCCGTGCTCGTCTCTGTCTCCGTCGCTCTGTCTCTCCGTCCGGCTCTGTTTTCTGTCTGTCGCTCTGTCTCTGTCTCTAGCTCGGGCTTGTCGCTCTGTCTTGTCGCCTGTCTCTGCTCCGTCGCTCTGTCTCTGTCTCCGTCGCTCTGTCTCTGTCTCTGTCGCTCTGTCTCCGTCGCTCTGTCTCTGTTTCTGTCGCTCTGTCTCTGTCGCTCTGTCTCCCTCGCTCTGTCTCTGTCTCCGTCGCTCTGTCTCTGTCTGTCGCTCTGTCTCCGTCGCTCTGTCTCCGTCGCTCTGTCTCTGTCTCCGTCGCTCTGTCTCTGTCTCCGTCGCTCTGTCTCTGTCTCCGTCGCTCTGTCTCTGTCTCTGTCGCTCTGTCTCTGTCGCTCTGTCTCTGTCGCTCTGTCTCTGTAGCTCTGACTCTCTCTGTCTCGCTCTCTGTCTCGCTCTCTGTCTCGCTCTCTGTCTCGCTCTCTGTCTCGCTCTCTGTCTCGCTCTCTGTCTCTCTCTTGCTCTCTCTCTCTCTGTCTCTCTCTCTCAATTCAATTCAATTTAAGGGCTTTATTGGCATGGGAAACGTATGTTAACATTGCCAAAGCAAGTGAAGTAGATAGTAAACAAAGTGAAATAAACAATAAATATTAACAGTAAACATTACACTCAGAAGTTCCAAAAGAATAAAGACATTTCAAATGTCAAATTATGTATGTATACAATGTTGTGACGATGAATCTCTCTCTCTCTCTCTCTCTCTCTCTCTCTCTCTCTCTCTATCTCTCTCTCCTCTTGCTATCTCTCTCTCTTCTCTGGCTGTCTCTCTCTCTCTCTCTCTCTCTCTCTCTCTCTCCTCCCACCAGGTTGAACAGTATGTCAGTAGTAGGGATGCAGCACAGTGAGGTGGTAGCAGCCATCAAGGCTGGGGGAGATGAGACCAGTCTACTGGTTGTGGATCCTGAGGCAGAGGCTTTCTTCAACAGCTGCAAAGTCATTCCAACTGAGGCCAACCTCACAGGTACACACACATATACTATATCCTTGGAAAAACACTGGTCGGGCAGATTCCTGGCACTCCTTCTGTCATTTGGTCATGGATTAGTTCAGTAGAAACTTACTAGGAAGGATTTAAGGAAGTGAGAGACTTCCATATAAATTGAAAAGAAGTCTTAAGTTTGTCATCAAGTAGTGCTACAGTGAGGGGAAAAAAATATTTGATCCCCTGCTGATTTTGTACGCTTGCCCACTGACAAAGACATGATCAGTCTATAATTTTAATGGTAGGTTTATTTGAACAGTGAGAGACAGAATAACAACAAAAAAATCCAGAAAAACGCATGTCAAAAATGTTATAAATTGATTTGCATTTTAATGAGGGAAATAAGTATTTGAACCCTCTGCAAAACATGATTTAGTACTTGGTGGCAAAACCCTTGTTGGCAATCACAGAGGTCAGACGTTTCTTGTAGTTGGCCACCAGGTTTGCACACATCTCAGGAGGGATTTTGTCCCACTCATCTTAGCAGATCTTCTCCAAGTCATTAAGGTTTTGAGGCTGACGTTTGGCAACTCGAACCTTCAGCTCCCTCCACAGATTTTCTATGGGATTAAGGTCTGGAGACTGGCTAGGCCACTCCAGGACCTTAATGTGCTTCTTCTTGAGCCACTCCTTTGTTGCCTTGGCCGTGTGTTTTGAGTCATTGTCATGCTGGAATACCCATCCACGACCCATTTTCAATGCCCTGGCTTACAGTTGACCGGGGCAGATCTAGCAGGGCAGAAATTTGATGAACTGATTTGTTGGAAAGGTGGCATCCTATACGATGCCATGTTGAAAGTCACTGAGCTCTTCAGTAAGGCCATTCTACTGCCAATGGTTGTCTATGGAGGTTGCATGGCTGTGTGCTCGATTTTATACACCTGCCAGCAACGGGTGTGGCTGAAATAGCCGGATCCACTAATTTGAAGGGGTGTCCACATACTTTTGTATATAAAGTGTACATCCTCCTAATGTCACCATTCCTTATCAACAATGGTGACTAAAATATATATTGTCCCGTTGTTGAACTGGTCAGCTGAATGGCTTTTCCTCTGTTTCCTTTAGGACCTCTTCCTGAACCTGTGTCCAATGGAGGAGCAGAAGAGGAGGTGTGTGTGTGTGTGTGGTGTGCTTCTCACAGGCTCCTATCATCAAAGTGGACATTCCTGGATAGATATTAGGAGGGTTCTCCAGGAAAACTTTCCTCAACAATCACTCAGACACACTCATCCTTGACCAAATATTATTTCTCTCTCTCGCTCTCACTCTCTCTCTGTCTCTCTGTCTGTCTGTCTCTGTCTCTCTCTCTCTGTCTCTCTCTCTGTCTCTGTCTCTCTCTCTGTCTCTGTCTCTCTCTCGTCTCTCTCTCTGTCTCTCTCTCTCTCTTCTGTCTGTCTCTGTCTCATCTCTCTCTCTCTCCTCTCTCTCTCTCTGTCTCTCTCTCGTCTTCTATCTCTCTCTCTCTCTCTCTCTCTCGCTCTCTCTCTCTCTGTTTCTCTCTGTCTCTCTATCTGTCTCTCTGGCTCTCTCTCTCTCTCTGTGTCTCTCTCTCTCTCTCTCTCTCTCTCTCTCTCTCTCTGTGTCTCTCTCTGTCTTTCTCTCTGTGTCTCTCTCTGTCTCGCTCTCTCGCTCTCTCTCTTCCTCTTACACGTTCACATGATTCAGAGCTTGGCTCAAAGCTTTAAATAATGAATTGGTAAATCAGAAACCTAAATAAGCCTTTGGCTAGATAAGATGGGTGTGTGATAGGACCATCCACTATAATCATACCTCACTGAGAACAGACAGATCTAAAGCAGTGACACCAAGGCTGTGTCCCAGAGAGCGGGGGTCAAAATGGCACCCTATCCCCTTTACAGTGCACCCATTGGGCTCTAGTCAAAAGTAGTGCACTTAAAAGGTAATAGGGTGCCATTTGGGACACACAACAAGATTGACCCTGGCTGACAAAGAAGCCATGACACCCTGGGAACAAGCCTAGGGGATTGGCAGCGATGATATCGTGGCTGACCCTATCGCCATGGTAACTGTCGATCAGAGTGGTGGACAGTGGGCCAGTGTGCTTTCTCTCTCTCTCTGGGATTGGGAGCCTCTGTAATTCCTGAGGCGTGCTGGGGATTATGCTAATGGGATGAGATGACTAACTATCCGACTACATCGCGACTATCCCACTAACTCAGGGCTACAGAGCTGAGAGTAGAGAACATACCATTATAATGTCTATGATCAGGTGATGGGTATCAAAGTCTATGTTCAGCAGTAAATAAGACTGCACACAGTGATCAGTGTTGCCAGAGACTCAGCCAGTTGATATAATCACACAGGTTGCTGGGGCAGCAGGTAGCTTAGTGGTTAAGAGCATTGTGCCAGTAATCGAAAGGTGTGGTTCTAATGGTGAAAAATCTGTCGATGTGCCCTTGAGCAAGGCACTTAACCCTAATTGCTCATGTAAGTCGCTCTGGATAAGAGCGTCTGCTAAATGACTAAAATGTAAATGTAAGTAGGGTACCACATGGTGAACCCTGACCCCTAGTGGCCACAATGATGTTGCACACCTACTGGTGATGGCCGTGACGTCAACGTACTGGCACTGTATGTTTCTGAGGTGTGTTTAGCTGATGTGTGTGATGCAGGTAATCAAGGTGTGTGTGTGTACAGGTGAACAATAAGGTGTATGCTGTGTTTCTAATGTGTGTCTCATATTTCTACAGCTGGATGGTAAGGTAGCAGTCGAGGGAAAGCCTAATGTGTCCGTCAGTTTGTCTACATCCAGCACCTCCTCCACTGCCTCTCTACCAACATCCGCTGGCAGCACCCCTCCACCAGAGGTACTAGTGTGTGGTGTGTGTGTGATGAGCAGTCAACATTTTTATCAACGGAATATGTAGGAACGCAAGGGTAAAATCGGGGTGTAGATATTGGGGTGGACGAACAGTAGATGGAGGGCATATGGAGGGGCATATGGAAGCTATATGGAGGGGTCTATGGAGGAGTCTATGGAGGGGTATATGGAGGGGTCTATGGAGGGGTCTAGGGAGGGTCTATGGAGGGGTCTATGGAGGGTCTATGGGGGGGTCTATGGAGGGGTCTATGGAGGATCTATGGAGTCTATAGGGGGTTATGGAGGGGTTCTATGGAGGGGTCTTTTGGAGGAGTCTATGGAGGGGTCTATGGGGGGGGTATAGGAGGGGTCTATGGGGGGTATATGGAGGGGTCTATGGAGGAGGTATGGAGGGGTTCTATGGAGGGGTATATGGAGGGGTATATGGAGGGGCATATGGAGGGGTCTATGGAGGAGTCTATGGAGGGGTCTATGGAGGGGTCTATGGAGGGGTATATGGAGGGGTCTATGGAGGGATATATGGAGGGGTATATGGAGGGGTATATGGAGGGGTCTATGGAGGGGTCTATGGAGGAGTCTATGGGGGAGTCTATGGAGGAGTCTATGGGAGGGTCATGGAGGGGTATATGGAGGGTTCTATGGAGGGGGTCTATGGAGGGGTCTATGGAGGGGTCTATGGAGGTAGTCTATGGAGGGGTTATGGAGGAGTCTATGGAGGAGTATATGGAGGGGTCTATGGAGGAGTCTATGGAGGGGTCTATGGAGGAGTCTATGGAGGGGTCTATGGAGGAGTCTATGGAGGGGTCTATGGAGGAGTCTATGGAGGGGTATATGGAGGGTTCTATGGAGGGGTCTATGGAGGGGTCTATGGAGGGGTCTATGGAGGAGTCTATGGAGGGGTCTATGGAGGAGTCTATGGAGGAGTATATGGAGGGGTCTATGGAGGAGTCTATGGAGGGGTCTATGGAGGGGTCTATGGAGGGGTCTATGGAGGGGTCTATGGAGGGGTCTATGGAGGAGTCTATGGAGGGGTCTATGGGAGGAGTCTATTGGAGGAGTATATGGAGGGGTCTATGGAGGGGTATTGGAGGGTTCTATGGAGGGGTCTATGGAGGGGTCTATGGAGGGGTCTATGGAGGAGTATATGGAGGGTTCATGGAGGAGTCTATGGGGGGGTCATGGAGGGGTATTTGGGGGAGTCTATGGAGGGGTATATGGAGGGGTCTAGGGAAGGGTCTATGGAGGGTCTATGGAGGAGTATTGGAGGGGTCTATGGAGGAGTATATGGAGGGGTCTATGGAGGAGTCTATGGAGGGGTCTATGGAGGGGTATTTGGAGGAGTCTATGGAGGGGTATATGGAGGGGTCTATGGAGGGGTCTATGGAGGAGTCTATGGAGGAGTATATGGAGGGGTCTATGGAGGAGTCTATGGAGGGGTCTATGGAGGGGTATAGGGAGGGGTCTATGGGGGTATATGGAGGGGTCTAGGGAGGAGTCTATGGGGGGGTCTATGGAGGGGTATATGGAGGGGTCTATGGAGGGGTATATGGGGGGGTTTCTAGTGGGGGTATATGGGGGGGTCTATGGGGGTCTATGGAGGGGTCTATGGAGGGGTATATGGAGGGGTCTATGGAGGAGTCTATGGAGGGGTCTATGGAGGGGTATATGGAGGGGTCTATGGAGGGGTATATGGAGGGTCTATGGAGGGGTCTATGGAGGTCTATGGAGGAGTATATGGAGGGTCTATGGAGGAGTCTATGGAGGGGTCTATGGAGGGGTATTTGGAGGAGTCTATGGAGGGGTATATGGAGGGGTCTATGGAAGGGTCTATGGAGGGGTAATGGAGGGGTTTTTGGAGGAGTCTAGGGAGGGGTCTGTGGAGGGTTTTTTGGAGGAGTCTATGGAGGGGTCTGTGGAGGGGTATTTGGAGGGGTATTTGGAGGAGTCTATGGAGGGGTCTGTGGAGGGGTATTTGGAGGAGTCTATGGAGGGGTATATGGAGGGGTATTTGGAGGAGTCTATGGAGGGGTCTGTGGAGGGGTATATGGAGGGGTCTATGGAGGGGTCTATGGAGGGGTCTATGGAGGGGTATTTGGAGGGTATTTTGAAAACCCAGTATAAGTGGGAAGGGTAAGTCACCATCATCAAGGCAAGTATTGAGAAGACACAAAAGATGACTGAGTCTTATTATAATGATGAACGTGAATATTTACATATCAAAATATAAATACAAATTATTCTACAGTTTTACATGACTTTATGGCCTCTCTTGAGGTGAAAACAGTATAAGTCATGTAGTTTTATAATGCAATTCTACACATTTTGTCATGAGGCTGAGAGTAAATGTTGCTGTTTTAAAGCTAATTTCCTGCAATTCTACACATTTTGCCATTGCTTATGTTCATATTCTATCTGGGGGGGGCACCCCAACCTTTTTTTATTTATTGAATCGACCTGTTTTGAATATTGGGGGGTCCCTCGATCCTCCGTGGCAATTTTGCGTATGGAGTAACGCATAATGTTCTCTCTCTGTGTGTGTAGGTACAGGTGGCTCCGGCTAAGGAACCTGATGCAAGCCTCGCCCTCAGCATGTCTCTAGCCCAGGCCAAGGAGAGAGCTCACCAGAAACGCTCATCCAAGAAGGCCCCTGCCATGGACTGGAGCAAGAGGAACGAACTCTTCAGTAACCTATAAATCACACGTTTCCTTCCGTCTTTCTCTGCCCCTCACTCCCTCTTTAGCTCGGTCGCAAGCAGACACACACACACACAACAATGTATGATGTGAACAGTGTTAATATTTTGTGATTTCATGTGCTAAGTGAGGGGTTTTCCATTTTTATTTAAAAACAAATTGAAACGCCACTCCTGAATAAGAAACAATGTAATTAACAATTTAAAGATGGAAAAACAATGTACAGTTTACATCTAGTGGAGTAGAATGATGAAGAAATAAAAGATGATGGGATATATGGAAAATAAGAATTAACATATTGCCAGTGAGTAATCGATCTAGTGATATGGTGTGTGTGTGTGTGTGTGTGTGTGTATGTATATCATAAGGTGTGTCGAATCTTATTGTCAGTCTATCTGCAATCTGATTGGTTGCTGGTCACAATACTTCCTTGTAGAATCACGAACTAGCCAATAGCAAGCTGGGACTGATTGTGCTTTTGTGGATGAGTTAAGATGAATCAAACTATTTTCCAGAGACTTTCATGCTTTATTACTTCTAAGGGCTGGATTCAGTCCGTATCGTGGAAGATCCGCGTTATAGCTCGATTTTCAAGTTAAAGGCAATGTTCCTGCGTTCGCAGAGACTGCATTCACAGTAAACACTGTATATGTCGGCTCAATCTGAAATGACCTTTACATTTTAACCTGGATCTTCCGCGATACGGATTAAATCCAGGCCTTACAGAATGACTAACAATCTGAATTTTTAGCAATACAAGACCATTGTCTGACCATTTATCGCTTAATGAGAGGTCTACACGTCTGGTTAGCAGATATCACTGAATTTGTTCAGGAATTGTATCATTCTAATGCTGACCACAGGTTTACTTTGTGGTGTGATGTTTTACAACCCTCTCTTTTTTAAGATGTTGACATATCAATTCTTAGAATGTAGAACTCATTCCGGAAGGGGAATTCAGAATACATGAGATTCTCTGTTCTAAATGTGACAATCATTGTTGGTCATATCATGCATGGTTAAAGGGACTGAGGTATGTGGTTCTAGATTTTTTAACCCAAAGTAAACCATTGTTTCTAACTGTAAAGTTGAAACATTCCTGAGTTAACAACCTGTTCAAACCGGTGTTCAAGCATCACTATTGTAAAATCCTACGGTATTTTTATCGTCGTGATTCAACATTTCTTCCTGCCATTGTCTCAACGTTTTACAGAATGACGAGATTATTTTTCATGTTTCTTTTATTAGATTTGTACATAAATTTCATGAGGAAATTGTATTTTGAGTGTTGTGTCTTAAAGAAATCCTCAATTTGTTTGAAGACTGTTCTAGAATCTCTCTGGGTTGAATGGAGTGTAAGCCTACTGTATGTGTGTCAGTTAGCTCTGGTCTAGGGCGTTAGTGTATCAGTCATCTGAACCACATAAGCCCTATAGTATAGACCAGGGATCAGCTCCAACTCCGGTCCTGGAAAGCTACTGGCTGCGTACGGTAGAAGGGCTGAGTTGTCAAATGTCTTGAGGATGACTGTTATAAATGTGGGCTCAAACATGTCTTCGTCTTTCTTTTTTAACGTGTGTGTGAGAGCTAGAGAGAGACAAGGCATACTCTGTGGGATCTCAAAGGAAAACGACAGTGTTTAGGTATAAATTCTCCTTTTTAATGGTATAGTAAATAGTAACCTGATGAGTAAGCAGGTGGGCGTGCATCAGAAACAACACAGACCAATCAGCAAGTCAGGAGCTAGTGCTCTAGAACAACAGAGACCAATCAGCAAGTCCGTGATCTAGAACAATGTTCTGATGTGAGAATGAATCCTAGAATGTTTTCTGCTATTCCTGTAAATAGAGCGTAAACATATTGTACTTACCCTAACACTGTACTTAAGGTTAAGGTTCTGTACAGTACGAACAGTTTAAGAATTAGTCATAGTTCACCCAAATCACATAAATTAGCATTTGGAGACAGTGGTCAGGTGAACAAAACCAAAGCATGCATTGCGGTCTTACATTTTACAGGGTAACGAAACCAATATGTAATCTGGGTGAACTAACTATAGGTATATAAATTCAGTATTGATGGGTATTGTACTGCATAATCTGACTATACTGGCTGTTTAACGCTCGAGTAACAGTAACTATGGATGCGTCACAATTCCCAAATGACACCTATTTCCAATTTAGAGCACTACTTTTGACCAGGGTCCTATGGGTCCTGGTCAAAACAATAGGGATTAGGGTGCCATAAAACAATAGGGATTAGGGTGCCATTTTGGACGCCGCCTATCTGACAAAAGTACTAAACAGTGCATGAAGCAGAAGCAGTGACGCGAGAGAATATTGAGCACAAAACCGTTACTCAAAAATATCACAGCTATATAATGACTACAATGCTATAATCGTGGGATTTTTCAATCATGGAATTTTGTTTTATGAACGATAATATGCATACAATATTGTTGACATGACAGAGAAGGTGCATACAAGGATGAAATACAAGTTCATATTTGTTTCTTTTAACTCCACACGAAAAGTCAGTTGATGCAGTGATTGTAACGGAAGCCGCTTTCTCTCTTCAAGAAACAGTCACTGAAATGGGCCCAACTCTGCCTCCTTGTGTTTGGTTTTGGGGGTGGCACGGGGTTAACAGAATTCAAGTGGCAGTTACAGTTGCAAAACAAGTGCAGGAGCAGCACTGGAAACACAAAGTTACAGATTGTGCCTTTAACTAGGTCAGAGTTTACTGTAGGTTACAGTAGTACAGCTGGGTCCAATGCAGAGAAGTCTGACGCTATGCAGTAGATTACAACCATCCAAGCCTGTTCTACTGTAATGTATTGGTGTGTGTATACTGACCTCACAGCCGACACACAACATATTGCAACACCTTCCACAGCTCAGATGGACCTGAAGACTTGTGCTCTCATTTGACAATAGTGCTTTACAAAGTATCACTGCCCCCCACACCCCCCCCCCCCCCACTCTTTGGAGGGCAAACACTGGATGTTTTGGTAAACCATAAATACAAACATACATGCATTTTAATATAGATAATGTCATAAATCTTTGAGATGAATTGAAATGTTTCTCCAACTCGCAAACAATTAACAAGAATATAGTATACTGAATAAAAATATAAACGCAAAAGTGTTGGCCCATGTTTCATGAGCTGAAATTAAAGATCCCATAAATGTTCCATACACGTAAAAAGCAAATGTTGGTTACATCCCTGTTAGTGAGCACTTCTCCTTTGCAAAGATAATCCCATCCACCTGACAGGTGTGGCATATCTAGAAGCTGATTAAACAGCATTATCATTACACAGGTGCACCTTGTGCTGGGGACAATAAAAGGCCACTCTTAAATGTGCAGTTTTGTCACACAACACAATGCCACATACAGTGGGGAGAACAAGTATTTGATACACTGCTGATTTTTCAGGTTTTCCTACTTACAAAGCATGTAGAGGTCTGTAATTTTCATCATAAGTACACTTCAACTGTGAGAGACGGAATCTAAAACAAAAATCCAGAAAATCATATTGTATGATTTTTAAGTAATTAATTTGCATTTTATTGCATGACATAAGTATTTGATCACCTACCAATCAGTAAGAATTCCGGCTCTCACAGACCTGTTAGTTTTTCTTTAAGAAGCCCTCCTGTTCTTCACTCATTACCTGTATAAAAGACACCTGTCCACACACTCAATCAAACAGACTCCAACCTCTCCACAATGGCCAAGACCAGAGAGCTGTGTAAGGACATCAGGGATAAAATTCTAGACCTGCACAAGGCTGGGATGGGCTACAGGACAATAGGCAAGCAGCTTGGTGAGAAGGCAACAACTGTTGGTGCAATTATTAGAAAATGGAAGAAGTTCAAGATCACGGTCAATCACCCTCGGTCTGGGGCTCCATGCAAGATCTCACCTCGTGGGGCATCAATGATCATGAGGAAGGTGAGGGATCAGCCCAGAACTACACGGCAGGACCTGGTCAATGACCTGAAGAGAGCTGGGACCACAGTCTCAAAGAAAACCATTAGTAACACACTACGCCGTCATGGATTAAAATCCTGCAGCACACGCAACGTCCCCCTGCTCAAGCCAACGCATGTCCAGGCCCGTCTGAAGTTTGCCAATTACCATCTGGATGATCCAGAGGAAGAATGGGAGAAGGTCATGTGGTCTGATGAGACAAAAATTGAGCTTTTTGGTCTAAACTCCACTCGCCGTGTTTGGAGGAAGAAGAAGGATGAGTCCAACCCCAAGAACACCATCCCAACCGTGAAGCATGGAGGTGGAAACATCATTCTTTGGGGATGCTTTTCTGCAAAGGGGACAGGACGACTGCACCGTATTGAGGGGAGGATGGATGGGGCCATTTATCGCGAGATCTTGGCCAACAACCTCCTTCCCTCAGTAAGAGCATTGAAGATGGGTCGTAACTGGGTCTTCCAGCATGACAACGACCTGAAACACACAGCCAGGGCAACTATGGAGTGGCTCTGGAAGAAGCATCTCAAGGTCCTGGAGTGGCCTAGCCAGTCTCCAGACCTGAACCCAATAGAAAATCTTTGGAGAGTGCGTATTGCCCAGCGACAGCCCCGAAACCTGAAGGATCTGGAGAAGGTCTGTATGGAGGAGTGGGCCAAAATCCCTGCTGCAGTGTGTGCAAACCTGGTCAAGACCTACAGGAAATGTATGACCTCTGTAATTGCAAACAAAGGTTTCTGTACCAAATATTAAGTTATGCTTTTCTGATGTATCAAATACTTATGTCATGCAATAAAATGCAAATTAATTACTTAAAAATCATACAATATGATTTTCTGGATTTTTGTTTTAGATTCCGTCTCTCACAGTTGAAGTGTACCTATGATAAAAATGACAGACTTCTACATGCTTTGTAAGTAGGAAAACCTGCAAAATCAGCAGTGTATCAAATACTTGTTCTCCCCACTGTAAGTGTGAATTTTGAAGCACGCAATTGGCACGCTGATGGCAGGAATGTCCACCAGAGCTGTTGTCAGAGAATGTAATGTTCATTTCTCTACCATAAGCTGCCTCCGCCGTTCTAGAGAATTTGGCAGTACGTCCAACCGGCCTCAACTGCAGACCACGTGTAACTACGCCAGCCCAGGGCCTCAACATCCGGCTTCTTCACCTGCGGTATCGTCTGAGACCAGCCACCTGGACAGCTGATGAAACTGAGGAGTATTTCTGTCTGTAATAAAGCCCTTTTGTGGGGAAAACTCCTGGCTCCCCAGTGGGTGGGTCTGGCTCCCAAATGGGTGGGCCCACCCGCCCACCCATGGCTGCACCCCTGCCCAGCCATGTTAAATCCATATATTAGGGCCTATTGAATGTATTTCAATTGACTGATTTCCTTATATAAACTAACTCAGTAAAATCGTTGAAATTGTTGCATGTTGCGTTTATATTTTTGTTCAGTGTATATTACATGTTAACATAAAACTTTTCTAATGACATAGTTACTCCTAACATCACGTATAGTATATTTTGAAGAAAATAGATGCTCCCTTTGTTAAGACAAATAAATGCAAAGTAAAAACAAATTCTTACTTTTCAGTAACATTGAAGATTCTCATGTTAAGAATATTGACACACTTAACATAACATTGGGTAAAGTTTAAAGACGAGAATATGATATAATTTACAATACATGTTAAAAATGGACCCTTATTCCCTTTGTGGTAAAATCGGGTTGGCTCAGAGCAAAGCTGTAGCATCTGTCATAAACCCGTGCTCCATGTCATAAACCCGTGCTCCATGTCATAAACCCGTGCTCCATGTCATAAACCCGTGCTCCATGTCATAAACCCGTGCTCTATGTAATAAAACACAGTAAACTGTTGTGTGTTATTGTGCTGTCTTTGCCTAGCGAAACTATTGATCCAGGGTTATGCGCTCCAGTTTAGGCAAGTCCCGATGTGTGTGTGTCTCACTGATGCTATTCAAACAACTAAAATCCACAGGTGTATCCGTCGAGTTCAGTAAGTGCTTGCGTTGAAATTCTGATGACATCATAAAGTGTGTGTGTGTTTAGGACATACAAGTGCAGTCAGAGGTTCTCCACATTGTGCCTCCCTGCTCTCCTCTCCCCATTTCTCTCCTCTCCCTTCTTTCACTTTCCCTCACTCTTCCTCTCCTCTCCTCTCTCTCCTCATACTTTCTCTTATCCACCCTATGAAACATGCAGATCAGTGCATCAGTCTAATCAATTCTACGGCTGCATCCCAAATGGTGCTCCCTATTCCAGGGCTCTGGTCAAAGAAGTGCACTATAAAGGGAATAGGGTGCTATTTGGGACGCACCCTATGGATCTGGCAACCCAATCATACTGGTCCTATTCAGGTTGCCTTGAGTGAAGTGAAGAGGAAGGATTTAATCCAACATGGCATCCAGCTGGTCGGCGAGGTCATCAAACATGTTGCCGATGTCATCCAGGATATTCCCTGCTGCTTTCACTGTGCTGCTGCCACTGGAAAAGAGAGAGGAGAGTGTTAACACAGTGTGTGTGTGTGTGTGTGTGTGTGTGTGTGTGTGTGTGTGTGTGTGTGTGTGTGTGTGTCTTACCCGTCAGTGCAGTCAACCTGAGCCATTTTCCTCTCTACAACATCCAGCGCTGCCTCCAGTGACCTGTTGGTCTCATCCAGCCTCCTCTGAACCAACACCTCCGAGCAGGCCTCACCAGCCTGGGTCTTTCCTGCCAGGCCTGGAGGCCCCGAGGTGTGGTAGGATGGAGGGGGGGCTGCCTGGACTGTGGCAGATGGGGCAGCGAAAGCCAAACTCTGGACCACATCGAGAGTCACACCAGGGGAACGGGCTTTAGGGGCTGAGGTTATGGATGAGCAGAGCTGGGGAAGTTTAGAGGCAGAGACGGTGGCAGGCGTCTGATTCACTGGCCTGGATGTTACTGTTCTCTGCAGACTGCCTGCTTTGGTTGCTGTTACTGGTTTCTGTGGATTGCCTGGTATAGAGGTGGTTGTGTGTGTATTTTGGCTGGCTGTTACATGTTTCTGTGTGCTGCCTGTCGCTGTCTCCTGTTGACAGGCTGGTTTAGGGTTGAGGGCAGGTTTGAGGGGAGGGCTGGTTGGTTTGGAGGACAGAGGTGGTCTCTGGCCTTTCCCTGTCGATCCTACTCTCTGTAAACTGCTCCCTGACCTCACACCTGCTTCCTCCTCTCGCTTGTCTCTGTTTGTGTGTGTGTGGAAGCCGTTGGACCGGCCGTGTGTGTGTGGCTGTGTGTGTCCGTCATCTTCGCTGACGGTGAAGATCTCGTCCAGTGTGTGTGTGTCCCGGTCTTTGGGCTGGCGGCGTCGTTTGACCGTGTCCGACTCTTTGAGGTTGAACTCAGGGACCCCCAAGGTCTTTGGGGCCTGCATTGTTTGGTCTTCTGGAGAAGCCTGGGGTTGGATTTCAGGGTCTGACCGGAAGCCTGCTCCCATCCTGGGCCGCTGTTTGATGGTGAGGTTGCCCTCCTCCGCGAAAGGGAGGTTCTCACTGGAGCTACTCTGAGGTGATGTAGAGCTTTCAAATACTGAACCATTCTTCCTCCCACTCTCCTCCTCTTCTGGGCTTCTCTCTATCCCTCCATCTCTATCCCTCTGCTCGCCCCCCATCCTCCTCAGGCCTCCCAGCCCCAGAGCGGGTACAGGTTTGTGGGAGGCGAGGGTGGGGGTGCGAGGGGAGGGTAACACTACCCCATTAGAGGGGCTGCCCCTGGGCCCGGACCCCTGTAGCCTGGCTGCGATGCTTCTCACACTGCCTGCACTCTCCGTCTCCACCCCTCCCACCTCCACCTGCCCTGGCACTACTGCCGCTCCTCCTGATTCGCTGGCCTGGCTGCCACTCACCGAGCTCATCCTCTTAGGTGGCGGTGGGGGCGGGCCTTTGCGGCGAGAGCGGACAGCGAATGAGTGGCTCCGGCTGATGTGGCGTTGGACGGCGGAGGAATTTGATTGGCCGCGGCCTGGTTTGCGTCCTAGTGTGGCGTACGAGGGAATGGTCACCGGGGGAACGGATTCCTGCAGCGATGACTCGTCGTCTTCCGGTTCTCCATCTGACAGGGCGTAGCGTGTCAGACTCTGGGTGCGTTTCTTAGGGCCCTTAAGAGCCTCTGTGTTGAGGCCTAGTCCTGGGAGGGGGACTGCTCCAGCCTGGGGCTTGGGTAGACCACGCTGGCACAGATAGGTGCCTCCTTCCTGGGTGTGGTGGTAGTTGAAGGCCCTCTGTGTGGGTGAGGCCTGAGGAGAGGGGGAGGGGGGAGAGGAGAGGGGGTGATGGGCAGGGGACTGGCAAGGTTTGGGTTTACTGGGCACAGGCAAGGCTGGGTAGGCGAAGCGGGGCATCGTGCTGGGGGTGAGAGGAGGGGTGAGGGGGGTGATGGGTAGTTTAGTGGGGGGCTGGGGGTGGCGCTTCTGGTCTGACCACACCTCTGTGGGTCTCTGTCGGTCTCTCCCTGAACTCCCTCCTCCCCCCTGTCTCCCACCTCCTCCTCCCAAGCTCTCGTCCGAGCGACTGTACGCTCCAGCCGATGCCAGAGTCTGTTGGTGAAGCTCTTGGGAATATCCCGGAAATTTCCCAGATTTTCCAGAATTTCCAGATCCGCGGGAGCGCGTTCCGATGCTCTCCTGGCTGAGCGACAACGGCGACACCACAACCCTCACACCCATCCCAAACCCCCCTATCCCCCCCCCTCCTCCTGTGCTCAGCTCGCTGTCATGGAAGGAGAGGAAGGGTGTCCTGGGGGAGTGAGGGGTCGGGGGGCAGCAGTCGGCGGGGATCTCGGGGGGCTCGATAGCCACCAGGTCCAGAGCCGTGGGGGGTTTACGCCGGAGCATGTCGGAGCCGTTGGCATGGTGATGAGTACGATGCAGGTCGCATAAACGCTTCACGGCTAACTAAGGTTCTTCCTGAGGTCCTAGGGGGTGGGGAGAGAGGGGGGGGTGCGAGGAGAGAGGGGGAGGGAAGGAGAGGGTGGCTTCTCTCTGTTCTGTTTCTCTCTTTTCTTTCCTCTCTCTGTTCTTTCTCTTCTCTTTTTCGTCTCTCCTTTTCATTAGTTGTCTCTTCTCCCCTCCCCCAAATTCTAGAAACACAAATTGCAGAAAACAAATAACTTTATGAACAGTTATTTTTGTATACAAGTGGTTAAAAAAGGTTGATAACTGGTTGTCAACACCAAGGCTGTCATATTGACAAGGGGGATGTGTCCAGGAGCTTCTACTACACTGCAGACTTACAATTCACTTAACTAACAATTTGACCTTGCATGTGAAGTGCATCTGTGCGTCAGAAGTGTGTGATGATTTCTTACCCAGCTTGGTGATTCCTATCTCCGATAAGTCTTCCCAGGTGATATCCTTGACGATGCTGATGGTGTCATAACCATTCTCACACAGTCTCTTCTGGTACTGAGGGAGACCGATCGCACTCAACCAATCTGACAGCTCAGACTGACAGAGAGAGAGGGAGAGATGGACAGAGAGAGAAGACAGAGTGACGGTGAGCTTGTTGACCAATAGTTGTACGACAAAAGACAGTTACTGCTGATTGTAAAGCTCTACATGAAACATGAAGAACTCATTAATATTAACAACAGACTACATACACTACTGCACAACTAACTCTCTCTTTCTGTGTCAAAGGCCTGTCGTCAACAGCCAGAACTGTGTACATAGTTCAAAGGTCATGTGACAGTCTCTTACAGGGATGTAGTCAGGCAGCCACTCTGGGATGTTCAGGTTGCCTATCTCCATGGAGATCTTCTTACGGTGGCCTGGTTTGGTCACACCGATGGCTGTTAGGTCCTGGAGAGACACACACCAGGTTAGAAAACCCCCACGACTAGGCTGCCAATGATACAAATGACTACAGAACACATTTATCCATGCTTATTTTATTTTGTTGACCTAAAAAATAAACAGAGGTAAATGTGTATGCAGGAATACGTTTGTTTTAAATCTCAATGCCACAAAGAGAGACATTGTAGAGGTGTGTGTGTGTTAATATCTCAGTTACTCTCAAATGTGTCAATCAATTAAGCGTAATCAATAAACGTATGAATGGGTAATAGAATCCAGTGTCTGACCTCTGGGGTCATCCTACTGATAGTTAGTACATCGTATCCTGCTGTGAGGAAGTTAGCAGTGTAGCTCTCCAGCTGGAACTCACACAGCCATTGGTAGATGGTCTCAGAGTCCTATAGACGGAGAACAGAGGGGTTATCACTCAGACACGGGCAAACGGACTGACGCACACACCATATTCAACTTACCCTGCCCACCAGGAGTTGATCTGGACGCATGAAGCCACTCTGTTCCCCCAACTGAGTACCACCACGGACTTGATGACGCAGACCACCTGGGGAGATAGAGCGAGAGACAAGAGACAGATTACAACTTTTATCAAATGAAATGTACACAGCTAACAGAGAGCATGAGGAAGGACTGAGGTGAAGGTGTATTATCTTGTAGATCTGAGTATTATCTTGTAGATCTGAGGGGCATGTCAACAGACCGATGTCAGATCTCTCCTCTCTCTTTCAGCTGGGACAATGGTTTTGATATCTCCCTCGATCCAACAGTCAGGGGCCCCCCCCCCCCCCCCCCTATGGGTTTCACAAAACTTCTCTTTTGTTCAAAATAAGGGCCTTTTCCGTCAAAAACCCCAAAATAATTTTTGTTTTAACCAATAGTTCGGGGGGTAAAGGGGGTGGAAAAACCAGTTCAAACCGGGGTTGTATTGGCCCCCAAGGGAAGGTTTCAAAAGGTTGGCCACCAGGGTTTCTTACCTTTGGGGGTTTTTGGTTTTGGTGGTTTTGGCCGGAAGCCCCCAAGGGGTTTTCCCCAGGTTTTTGCTATCCCCAGGGAAAGGGAACCTTTTACCTGCCTTTTTTTTTTAAAAAAACCGAGGGTTTTAAGTTTTGGGAATAAACCCCCGGTTTTAAAAACCCCCCACAAAGGGCCCCCCTTTGTAAATTGGGGTTTGGTTAAATCCAGTTTTTTTTAAAAATTTGTTTTTAACCAAAAAATAAAAAGGTAAAGGGGGTAAGAATCCGTTTGTTTTTAATCCACATGAAACGAATACGTTGTGGGGGTTTTGGTTTTACTTCCCAGTTAAACTCCAAGTTGTTAAATTTAAGGTTAATAAGGGAAAAATTGGGTTTAATAGAAACCAAAAGGCTGACCCCCTTTCCTTTCCCCCCCCTGAATAGTTAATCGGGCATTAACCCTGTTGGGGCCCCCCCAATGAGTCCCCCACGAACTAAACCCCACTTGGGGATATGGCCGATCCAATAGCCGAACAATTTTATCAAAAAAAGAACACGGCAAACGGACTGAGGAAACCCCATAATTAATTTTAACCCTTGAACCCAGGAAAAAAATTGGACCTAACCATTTTCTTTCCCCTTTTTCCCCCAACTGGGTTTTTTTCCCCCCCCACCTTTTCCCCAAAACCCCCTTTAAACCCCCCCGTGCCGTTTAAAATTTTATTAAAAAAATTTTTAAACCCCGGGGAACCACCCCCCCCAAGAGGGAAGGGGAAACCCGGGGAAAGGTTACCGAGACCTAAAACCCCCCTTTTTGAGGGGCCCCATGCCAACCCCCCGGGCCCCCGCCCCCTTCCTTTCGGGGGCCGGGACATTTTTGTTTTTTCCCCCTCGACCCCGTTGCCCCCTTCCCCCCCAACCCCTTTTCCCCCTTGACCCCACCTAAAATTTATAACAAAAAAACCCCCTTTCTTTTCCCCTCCCCCCTTTCCCAACCCCCTTCCCCACTCTTCTTCCCCCCAAACAAAAGGGAGGAAGAAAAAAGCGACACACACAAGAGAAGAGAGATAGAGAAAAGGAAAAAAGAAGATAGAGAGAGAGAGAAGGAGGAGAGGAAAGAGACTAAAACACACACAACACAAAGAGAAAAGGGGATAAAATTTTTACAAAAAAAAAAAGCGACAAAACCCAACCAAAAAAAAAAGAAATATAAAAAGAAATAAAAAAACAACCCAAAAACACACGAATTAAGAAAAGAAATAAAAACACAAAAACAAAAAACCATAGAAAAATAAAAAACTAAAAACCGAACCCCAAAAAACCACAAAAAAAGAGAAAACATCTACAAACCACAGAAAAGAAAAAAATAATAAATAAAAGCAACCACAAAAACACCCCAATAAGAAGATACACCCCAAAACCCAAAAAGAAAAAACAAAAAACCACACACAAAAAAGAGATAAATAAGATAAAAAGAGGGGAAAAAAAATAAAAAAACAAAAAACCCCCAAAAAAAATTACCTTTTTTTATCCCCTGTTTTTAAGAAGCTGTTGTAGCAAAACTTTATCTTTTTCCAGACTATTTCCTTTTTAAACCGCCCATTCAGTTTTTAAAACAAGACAAAATGTTTTTTTTTTTATTTGGGCTGATTATTCTTGTATTTAAAGTGTTTTTGGGGTCTTGAAAAGTGTTTAAAAAAAAATGTTTATTACTGAAAAGTTATGATGCTAAAATTAAAGGACTCCCGTGCAAAACGGGTTTTGATTAGGACCCTCTGTCCCCCGTCCTTACACATGGACGGAATTATACCCAACACCCCGCGGGTTGGTTTCCTTTTTTAATCCAATTTTTTTACCCTGATTTTTTCCACAGCACTGTTCCCTACTAAAAACAGAGCAAATCCATAATAAACCAAAGAAAGTAGAACTTTTTTGTAGAGTTTTTTAGGGCTGGATTCAGTCCCCCGCGATCGGGGGGAACTTGCCTTTAATTGCCCAAACCGGGGCTATAAAGGGGGATCTTCAGCCAAAACGGATTAAAATTGACCCCTAAAAAAAATTTTTTCACCTTTGCTCTCTGAAACGGACTCATTTTTGGGTTTCCAAACCACAAAGGGTTTTTGGATTCTAGCTTGAAAAAACTTATTCTTTTAAAAATACAGAATTTTATTGATTATTTTACATTTATGGAAGGGGTATATTTTGGGGGCCCATTGGGGGGTTTAGTTAGGGACTTGGGGGGAGGGGAAAGTTATTTTGAGGAAAACCCGGGGAAGGGAAAAGTTCATTTTTTCCTTTTTCCATGTTTCAAAGAGGGGGGCAAAGGCAATTTTATTCTCTGATAAGGCGGGCCACTGCGGAATTTTAGGGGAGTGAGGAATTCACTCAGGGTCAAGTCCAATGAATGAGAAAAACCTTGGGGGGGGCCCAAAGGGGGCCCACCAAAACGCCCCCTATTTACGCCCCTATCTCACACACCCTCACTTTCAGGGCCACGGGGGGTTCCCCGCATCGGCGGGGCCATGACTCCACCATTAGGGGAAAACCAAATCATTTTCCTCCTAGAAACGAGAGGGTTTTTGGCTGCCCTAGATGTAAGGTTGACCCCCCCCCTATGGGAAAAAAAAATATTGCTTGTGTAATATCCCTTCGTCTTTGCAGCTGTTGACCCAGTGGGTGAAAAAAGGGGGTTTTGAATTTTTTTTCCCTGGGTTCCCCCTTTTGAGTTTTTACTCTGTTTGTTCAGAACCCCCCCTGGTAAAAGCCCTCTAGTAAAACTAAAAACCCCCACTAAAGAAAACAGAGTTAATAACTACAGAGTTGCAGATAACAAGGAAAAACCAGAAACCCTTTGTCCGGGTGAGAGTTTTCCCCCGGCCTAGGGGCTTCCCGGACCCACTCTAACCCCCCCTGGCCCCCACTCCTCAGACACCTCCACCGACCCCGGGTTAAAAGTGTGTGTGTTTGGGTTTGGTACCTGTCACCTGGGAGTCCCCTTTCCAAACCCCAGCTAGTCCCTAGCCCCCCGTGAGGAGATATGGGTTCCCCCAGGGTTCCCCCCCCACGGTAAAAGTGGTACCCCAGCTACCCAATACCCAAACTACCCCTGTGCCCTCTGTTCACCCACTCCCTTAGATGTACCCCCCCCTAACCCCCCCTAAAATCAACTTCTGCCTCCATTCAGGGGCCCAAGAGCTGCTGACCTGCCCCCCTCCAAGGGGTCCCGTCCAAATTCCCTTCCTCTCTCTCTCTCTCTCCTCTCTCTCCCTCTCTCCCTCTCTCCCTCCCCTCCCTTCCCTCTCTCCCTCTCTCCCTTCTTCCCCCCCCCCCCCCCCTCCCTCCCTTTCCCCCCCCTTCCATTTTTTCTTTCCTTTTTTTTCCTTTTTTCTCCCCTTTTCCCTGTCCCGGCAGACCAAAGACAACTCCTTCCCCCCCTTATTGCTTTTTGTCAAGAGCTGAGCTTCTGGCTGTATCCCAAATGGAACCCTATTCCCTTTAAAGTGCCCTAAAGGGACTATGGTGCCATCTGGGGCTCTTATGTTTTGCCTGAGGTGAGTGTGTTTTTTAGTGAGGAGAAAACCCTTTTTTCTATATTGGTTTGGAAGGTGTTTCTGTGGGAGAAAGAAAGGTTTTTGTCTTGTTTAAATTTTTGAGGTAATTCTGTATTTCTTACCTCCCCCACATTTTTTCCCCCCCTGCACTGTTGGGTGTTCCCGCACTTTTAAAGGCCCCCGGGCCCCGGGGTAGGACGACCGGTGGAATACTCTATAAGTCCGGCCCCCCGTCTTTAAAAACAACCCCGTTTAACAGACAAATTTCCTTTTTTTCATTTACAGACGCTCTTTTCCCGAGCGACTTACAAATTGGTCATTTTAATTTTTTGAAGCCAGTTTGGGCCAAAACCCTTATTACAACCTAAAGGTTATTTATGCATACAAATTTTCTACCAATGGCCCCCCCGTTTGGGGAAAAAACCCCCAACACGGCTTTTAATTCCATTCTCCCAAACCCAAAGGGGAAACCTTTTCCGGGCCCCCCAAAAAACCCCAAAAAATTTATCTCCCCACCCCCCTTCCCCCCAAAATTCCCCCGCCATTTTCCTAAGGCCCCATGTTTTTCTGGCCGGGGGAGGGCAGAGTAACCTTAAAATGGAGAAACCCCCCCCTTTTTTTTGTTTGGTTTTGGGGGTTTTTGGGGGTTCCCCCGAGGGGGGGGGAAAAATTGGGAAATTTTTTTCCCTTTTTTTTCCCCATTTGAAAAGGGCAAATTTTTCCCCCTTTTTTGTTTAGTTTATTTAAAAATGGGTGGGTGGTTTATTTAAAGGGAAAAAAAATAGATAAAGGTTTTAAAAAAATAGAAAAGATTTTTTAGAAGGAAAAAAAAAAACAAAAAAATAGAAAGGGGGAAAAAAAATACATAGAAAAAGGGGTAGAGGGAAAGGGGAATTTTGGGTTTTCAAGGAATTACCTGTATTTTCCCCGGTTTTTTTTTCTGGGATTTTTGTCCTGGGCCCGGGGGGAACAGCTGTTCCCCCCGGAAATCACCAACAGAGGGACCAAATACAAAAACAGAAAGAGGAAAAACCTTTAGC